TCAGCTATGGCTATGGGCGCCCAGCGCCGAAGACTACTACTAGCGCTAATACTACTGCCTAGCGCTGAAGACTACTGCAGCGCTCCTCCTGAGTACTGCGGCCGAATCCTGAAGACTACTCGTGCCTCTGACAACTACCTATGCGTGAAGTGCATGGGACTATCCTATGTACTACTCGGGTGTGCTTCCTGACTGCAGGCGAGCAGTCCAGGAGGCTGCTCTTGCCAATGCCGAAGGGAGGCAGGGGCTGCAGCTCCTGTTCGAGCTGGCGTGGGGAACAGGCTATTTCTGGCCTGTTCCCGAAACCCTGTTTCCGTGCCTGAGTCTTAGGTAGGTCGAACACAATGAGGGCCTGAAAATGGCCCTCCGTTTCAGGCTGAAAAGCCTTTAGGCCTGAAAGGCCCAGAAATAGGCTGAAACGGAATAGGGCCTGCAGGCCCTCGTATTTCAGCTTTCAGGATGAAACGACCGGGGCCTGTAAGCCCTAAGTTTTAGGCTTTTAGGCTGAAAGTGCGGGACGGGCCCTGCAGGGTCAGTGTGGCTACGCAGTATGCCACACCCCCCCCTCCTTGAAAGACCGAGCTTACCTGCGAGGGCGAAGTTGTCTGTCTGAGGGAGGGACCACAGTCCAGGTGGGAGGGGCAGGTCGTGGAGGTCCCTTGGCTAACCTTTGACACTCGTAGTGAGTGTAGATCAGCGGTGTGGATGCTTTCAAATCTGCTCCTGAAATCCACCGAGTGTCGTCGGGATCGCATGCTCTGAATGTAACTTTGTACTGTCGCGGCTTGCTGCCATACTTGCGATCCGAGATGACGCGGTCAACCTCCTGATGACCATCCATAGATGGAGGGTCCTGCGATCGTCGGCCCGGGAAGTCGTCGCTCTTAGCTGGTGTATATGTTGCCAGCTTCGATGCGTGAAAGACTGGATGGACCGTCAGATGCTCGGGAATGTTGATCACAAATGAAGGGCCATCGGGCTCATCGCCCGCGGCTGATGTCACAGACGATGGTCCAAACCACTTGGGAAGCAGTTTGCGTGAAACATCCTGTTCCAGTGCAAACTCTTCCGCGGAGACCCAAACCAGAGCACCGGCGCGGATGGGACATGGTACGCGACGCCTGTTGGCTTGCTGCTGCATGCGGACTTGAGCCTTTTGCATGTTCGCGCGGGCTTGAGTCAACAATTCCTTGTACTTCCGGACGGAAGCGGGAGAGCAAGCATCGTCAATGTCGGCTGGTCGAGGGAGGAGAAGGTCGGCGAAGATACGGCCTTTCCGTCCACCGTGGTGCAACTCGAATGGAGTCACGCCGATCGCCGGGTGCATCGAAGTGTTGTAGGCGAACTCGATGTCGGGGAGGCGGTCAACCCAATCTTTCTGGTCCGGACGGATGAGCGTACGAAGCATCATTTGAGCGGTTTGATGTGCCCTCTCCGTCTGCCCGTCTGTCTGTGGATGCCGAGCCGAACTTGGCTTCATCTTCGTGCCGGACTCCTGCATGAGTGCAGTCCAAAATGCCGACATGAAGCGAGTGTCGCGGTCGATGACTATTTCTTCTGGTACACCATGGTCGCAAATCCAGCCGGTGTGCAGGGGGCGTGCCAGCTCGGGAGCCGTGGAGTAGTACTTGCAAGGAAGAAAACGCGCGTACTTACTCAATCGGTCCACCACCGTGAGGATGCCGTTGTGTCCGAGCCGGTCGCGAGGGAACGGACCGGTGACGTCCATGGCAATGGAGAGACCGGGTTCCCGTGGGATGGGCATCGGGCGTAACTCGCCATAGGGATTGCGGTTGCGGGGTTTGCTGCGTCGGCAAACTTTGCAAGAGTCGCAATACCGAGTGACATCGGTAATGAGGTCAGGCCATCAGAATTGTTGTCGAAGCCGTGCGATGGTGCGGTTGACTCTGAAATGGCCGGCGAGTCGTGAGTCATGGTACTCCCCGAGAAGGCGAGTCCCAAGACGACGGTCTCGTGGGACACACAATAAGTCCTTGCCTCTCGAGTGGAGGAGCAAGTACCCGTCGACAATGCGATAGTGGCTGGCCGGTGGGTGATCCGAAGATAATTGTGCATATATAGCGTGGCAAAGTCCGGATCAGACTCATATGCCCGGATGAAGTGTCGCTGAAGCTCCTCGTCGAATGCGAAGGCATGATGTGTCATAGCGCAAAGATCAGGTCTTCACGAGAGTGCATCTACTGCACGATTTGAGAGGCCGGGAAGATGTTTCGGTGTGAAGTCAAACTGGTCGATGAAGTACATCCATCGTCCGATCGTGCTGCTCACCGTATCTTGCGTCTTGTAGTAGGTCAATGGATTGTTGTCCGTAACCCATGTGAACCTACGACGCCCAAGGAGGAAGTGCCGCCAACGCTTGAGAGCCATCACGAATGCGAGCAGCTCCTTCTTCCTTGCATCATCAAGCGAGTTGATGGGAGGCACTTTGTGGCTGAAATACTCCACAGGGTGCCAGTCGTCGCCGTCGTGCTGTTCCAAGACTGCCCCAATGCCATAGCCGGAAGCGTCCGTAGTCACTCTCGTCGGCAGGGTGGGGTCATAGATGCTAAGGACGGGTGCCATGAGCATAGCCGTTTTAAGTGCTTGGAATGACCGGCGTGAGTCGTCATCAAATACGAATGGCACCTTTGGCGATTGTAATCTCGTCATAGGTGCAGCAATCCTCGAGTATACGATGATGAATCGCTGATAGTAGCCCACCAATCCCATGAATGAACGAACATCCGTGGTGTTGGTGTGCTCGGGCCATACTCGTAGGGCCTCGATCTTGTCCACAAGCGGACAGATGCCTTGCGACGTCACATAATGTCCCAAGTACTCCAGCTCCTGCCGCGCGAATTCGCACTTGTCGCGGTTGGCTTTGTACTTGGCCCGTTGTAGCCGCTCCAAAACGGTGCGCAGGTGTTCCACGTGCTCCTCCAAACTCTGGCTGTACACCAGGATGTCGTCGAGGTAGATAAGTACGTATCGATCCAGCATGTGTCGGAACTCCATTGTCATAGCCGCTTGGAAAGTGGTCGGGGCATTCGTGAGGCCAAATGGCATAACCAGCCATTCTAAATGCCCATATTGCGTCTTAAACGCGGTCTTGTAACGGTCCTCCTTGCGAATTTCGAGTTGGTGATATCCCGACTTGAGATCAAGGTTGGAGAAGAACTTGGCGCCGCCCAGTCGCTCGAGAAGATCGTCGATGCGTGGGAGAGGGCCGACGTTTCTGATCGTCTGCGCGTTGAGCTTGCGATAATCGATGCACAAGCGCAAATCCTTGTTCTTCTTCCGGACGAAGAGAACAGGAGCACCGTATGGTTGTGAGCTAGGCCGAATCCAGCCTTTCTCCAGAAGGTCGTCGAGTTGTGCCCGAAGCACACTTAACTCTTCCTCGCTCATTCGGTAGATGCAACCGCGCGGAGGTACGGCCCCGTCCTCGAGGATGATCTCGTGGCGGATGGGCCGATCCGGTACTACTGTGTGCGGGCCTTCGAACACGTCGCTGTAGGCGTCGAGAAGTTCGGTGATGCGTGGATCCGAAGATGAGTCCGTCGATGAAGCGTCATGGGGCGGGAGGGCGTGGAGAAAACACACCCCCATCTCCTCGATGTCGTCTCTGATGATGGAAGCTCGCATGCTTGCGGCGGATACCACGTGGCAGCTGATCGAAGGATGAGGAAGAGGCACCGTGCATGGGACTAGTATTCCGTTTTGATCACCGTTCACCGGGTGATCCTCGCTTCGCAGCCATGACATGCCCAAGATCATGTCAAATTTGGTGTCCAGAATGTCAAAGGATACCGCCTCACTTGAGTGAGGGGCAAAGTACACTGGGACGTCATCAATGCACTGGTCGATTGACTTGTGCGTGTGACCGTCCGCCAACGTGACTTGCATGGGCTGGGGCTTCCTTCGGACGCGTGGGCCAAGGCCGGCACGCACCATGAAGTCCTGGCTGATGTAGTTGTGAGATGCTCCGCAATCGACCAAAGCGTTGCAGGTCGCCTCTCCGATCTGAATGCGTACATATAGCAATGGTGTGTTGATGTCGTCGTACCGTTGCGTCTTGAACTCGCGGTCGATCTTCGCAATGTAGGCGTGAAGGTCGACAACCTCTACTCCGACGTCCATCAACGGAGTCAGTACTGCAGTGTGCAAGTAATCCCGCAGTTGTGCCATGAGCACGTTGCAATGCGGTTTCGGCAATCGTCCGGTCAAGGGAACGGGCATCCATTGGAAGTCCGCGAACATCAATGGGTCGAGCTCTTCAAGTCTTGACCATGACGTCGAATCCCCGACGATAGATGGCGGCGAAGCTGCCGAATCGGTTGCCGATGGTGATGAAACCGTGCATACGGTTGATTGTTGCACGTGGAGCGGTTGGTCCAGCGGTGGAACCAAGTGGACAACATAATCCTCGTAAGTGTACCGAGGACTTGCGACATGCGCATCCTCCCCAGATGTGTAGGAGGCCGCTAGCAAGGCGGCCGAATCTGGCGGAGTGAGAGGTGGAGTCGCCTCACCTCCTGCGCAACTCAGTTTCCCGAGTTAAGACGAGGCCGCACATCCTCCTTGGCCTGATCCTGGCAAAGGGAGGTCTTGTGCTTGGTGCTGTTGCACCAGTAGCAGCAGCCGTAACGGTCGCGGTACTTGTACTCGGCCTCGGTCAAGCCGAACTTGACCCATGGTGGTGCTGGCTGTCCATTTCCGATCGGCGATGCTGATTTCACCTTCCCGTTCACTCGGGGTTTGTTGTTGCTTCGCGGCTGGACAGCAGCCACCTGATCTCCCTCACGTGACGCTTGGGTGGCTGCCGGGTCTTCCACAGTGTTGTCCGATTGGACTGCAGCGAACTGCTGCTGTCGCGGACCAGTTCTTCTCCACATAGGTTGGCTGCCATGTTGACTTCTCGTGTGCAGCCGACCTGTTGGTCTTGATGATCTCCCTTGCCTTATCAATGATCTCAACGAAGGTGGTGTATTGCTCGCGATCACCAAGTGCCTGGCTCAGTGCAGCACATGACCTGTTGTAGAACTCCCGGCGTAGATGCGTGAATGGTAAGTCCAGATCAGGTACTGCCGCGATCTTCTGCCATTCCGTGAGCTAGTCACGTGTTGCTGTGTTGCCCTGAGATATGGTGAAGTGAAACGGTATTCACCAATTTGTGGTAGCTGAGACAGATCCCAGGGCTCGATCCCTAGTTTCCCAACGTACCTGTGTACAATACCTGCGTCAACTCGAAGAGTTGAACCTGCGACCTGTAGAACCGCCAGTGGTAGGTAGGTCTGTCGTAGGTCTATAGGTAGTCAGGATTCGAGCCGTAGACCTGTAGATTAGAAGGCTAGCTGCAGTCCTTCTAGAAGGTTGGCAAGTGGGCAAGTGGTGCAGGCAAGTGGTCAAGTGGTGCAGGCAAGTGGGCAAGTGGTGTGACTAAAGCAAGTGCAGTCCTTCTAGAAGGTTGGCAAGTGGGCAAGTGGTGC